GCCACCCCATAGGCCAGAAGCCACTACCATTTGGCAATTATATATAAGAGAGATTTGCTAATATTAGCAATATATCTAATGCTAATTTTCTGCCCCCAAGCATTTCCCCTCTGCTCTAATCAAGATGATTACAATGCACATGGTGCCTCTGCAGTCCTGAGTTCCCTCTTTGCAACACCACGCAACTCTAGCTGTTCTATTGCAGACCCTCTGAAACTATCATAAAAGCTGATTACCTGTACTACAATACACTTGGGCTTGGGAGATCCACAAAGAGAAGTGTCCCATGACTTTTTAGGACCACAGCATGGGAGTGGGGGCGTGCAGGCATGGCAAATGGGGTTTTATGGAAGGATTACGGTAAAGGAAAACAGCTCTACGGGGAAACAGTTGGGTCTCCACAGCCTAAATCTAAATCAGGTAGTAGAAGGCAGGAAAGTGGGACAACTGCTGCTTATTCTGTAAAAAGCTATTCACGTTTACTTTGAACCTAAGTTTATTGTAGTACTGGCAAAAAATCATAGTACCGTTATGATACTAAAATATTTATGAAGAAATGTCGTATCATCCATTACTTACTCCAGTTGTGTGCAGCTTCATCTTAAACTTCTCAAAATACAACCAGTGCTTTGATTCATTAGGGTCTAGGTCATGATAGAAATCTCTGGCTGCATAACCAAAACTGTGGAATTTTCTTTCTGGAGTTAAGAGGATAGTTGTTGGTGTCTTCTGACTGGACACCCCAGGGTCTCCTCCTTCCCATCGCCTAAAAATACAGAGGAAGTCATTCTGAATCAGTGAAACTTAGAACTTGGCATTCTTTTTGTTTTGGGGTATTTTTAATATGCGTGTGTGTGTGTGCACCTGGAAGTCATGGTGACCTCTGGTGACTGACCCCTCGTGGAGGCCTGGAGTACACCTTGGCATTCTTTATCAGACACACACTCCACACGTTCTGTCCATGTAGTTAAGTGAACAGAACTCTGGACTCAGACCTAGATGATCTGCGATCAAATCCACAGTTCAAAACTCAGGACTGTCACTGGACTGTGGCATCCCTTTTGTGAAGAGATGATGTTCATATGTAAAACAAGTTTTCTCAAACTGAGGAGATGGGCCATGAGTAGGCATGAGAAGCCTGAAGGGTAGGACGAAAGGGACGAGGAAGACTGCAGCCGCCTGGCTCTCTTACAGAAACATGAATCTGACTGAGCACATATGAGTGCAGGAGGCAGCAATGCTGTAAGTGTTTCACTCACAGTGAATAAACTTTAGAAACGGATGGCATGGAAGTTGAAGAAAAGCCTAGCAGCATGGACAGAATTGCTTCTATATGGGAACTGCTTCCATCCACCTGCTGTAGCTACAGAACAGTGTCATTTATCATAACCATTAATAGCACCAAACAGCTACATATCAAATCTTTGCATAGTGAAGTCATTAGTGGGAATAGCACTCCAAAGGGTTAGATACAGATTAAAAGGTAAATCTGTTATGGATAGTGTATTTTATCACTAGATAGGAAGAAATTGTTCCTCAGCATATACAATATCACCAGTTCCCAATTTGTGAATTCGTCTCTTCTGTTACGCAACTCCTGGTATCAGGATTGGATGAGAATGGGATCCAGATTTGCTGATCAATCAAATTACATATATGCAGATATGCTCAGTGGCAAATAATACTGTTAGTCAATGTTAATATTAACAGATATTAACAAATATACAAAAATGCATGTATTTATTTCACAATAGATTTTAAAAGATATTGGCCCTTACAATAGCCTCAGATCTTTGATGATCTATAATGACATCCAAAAGCGACAAATATTGACTCTGACCAGACCCGTTTTGGCCCACTTGGCCTTTTTCAGTGGTCAAACTAATAACACTGCAACATGACTCATGACATAGCAACAACACTCATTCATCATAAACTAAAAAAGATGAAGTTATTCTGATAATTATTGTCTATGACCAAGGGAAAGAATATTGATTAAAAAAACTTGTTCTTAAGAATTCACATCCATGGTCAGATATACTTATTCCTATAGCAATGATTCAATCAATTGTATACCTTTCTCACTTGGTCAGAAAAGGTTCTGTAAAGCCAGGAGCCAAATATTGACAGATATATGTATTTTTGTATATTTGTTAATATCTGTTAATTTTTAAATTGACTAACAGTATTATTTGGCCTGTATGTTTATGTTTTCTTAATCTTTAGGTACCTGATTCAATTTGTTTTGGGTTAAGCATCCCCCCCCCTTTTCTCTTTCAGATATGCCCAGTGACAAGAAAAGTTCATGAAGTCTACCACTGCATCTGTTATCCTCTTTATTTGACCATAGATGTCAAAACAGGCACTATCAGTATATTCTGGACCAAGAGAGATCATGGAAATTGGTACGGCTGGTAGACAAAAGCTACTGGATCATGGTACATTGTTCTAATACACTACAGCCCAAGATAACAAGTGATTTTGCTTGAAGAGCAGTCACTGAGACATATGACAGCTATAAGATGAAATTCCCGAATGCTAACCATATCTCTGTTAATTTGAATAATTGTTCTCTTGTTTTTAAAAAACCCTCTGTAACGAAGAGTCTAGTCACATATCTTTTTAGAAGGCTTACACCAATAGTGCTTTTTTCCAGTACACCCAAAAATATAAGATGAGAATGCAACAGACAAGTATTTGGAAACATGCATGACATATACCTACAGTGGCTGGAATACTAGGGACTGATTTAGAGTCCCTGTGGAACATGTATTTGGGGGCACACCAATATTACTATGTAACATATGAAATGGCTCTAATACTTGCTTTTCTATGGAGAAAACTCTATTAATAATAAATATATTTTGTCGAAGACTTTCACAGCTGGAGTTCATTAGTTGTTGTAGATTTTCCAGGCTGTATGGCCGTGGTCTTAACATTGTAGGACCTGATGTTTTGCCAGCAGCTGTGACTGGCATCCTCAGAGGTATAACACAGAAAGATAGAGTACTGTGTCCTTGACACAGAGAGCACTCCTTCTTTCTGTGCTATACCTCTGAGGATGCCAGTCACAGCTGCTGGCAAAACATCAGGTCCTACAATGTTAAGACCACGGCCATACAGCCTGGAAAATCTACAACAACTAATACATATATATTGTGTGTAGAGGGAAACTGCTCCTACACAGCAACTGAAAAAACAAAAAAGGTAAGGTTATGTCTCTAATCTCAGCTATTCAAAATACCCATATCCTTCCAATTGTATAACTTTTTTATCTATCAGGCATAGTTTTCCAGATGAAAGATGGTTGGCTTAGGTAATAGGCATGAATTTTATCTCTTACTTGTTATGGACAGCACATCCTGTGTAGAACAGGAGCCAATGATCTAGGGGACACCCATGGCAGCTGATCTATCCTGCTTTCCACTGGCAGCCTCTTACCACCCCCAAAGAGATGATTCCTTAGGGGTCAGGGAGCCTTTTGTACAAAATGCCATGGGGCACAGGGGGACTGAGGGGGAATTTGGAGAGACTGTCCCTCTCTTGCTATCAGAGGTAATACTGGCAAAAGATGAAAGTGGTTGCAATTTTGCCCAATTTCACCCCCACATTGCATCTTTATTCATTCTTTTCTGAAACCTTTCCCTGACTCACGACATTAGCTTTTTGGGGATCATGGCAGGCTTTTGGGGAACCTTTAATTAGACTTAGAATTAGGCATGTGACTCTTTGGTACTCATGGAAACAAACTAGGTAACCATGTCACCACTTCTACATGGGATTATTCAGACTGAACAGAAGCTATTGCTTGTTAAATCCTACGCACCAGCTGCACTGCACATTCAGGGAAAGAAGAAAGGTATTGTTTTGATTGGGGTTCCTTAATTACTGTAATTTTGACTCATTCATGGATTGTTATGCTAATAGAAAGTGCACTTAGGAGTTGAATAACTGTGACAGCCACCTATTCTCTCCTAAACAGAAATTGCATTAGTCCTCTTTCTGGAATGAATGCCTGTGAGCCGCAGTCCTCTCGGCAACAGAATGTCTCACTGATATTGTGGCTAAGATTTGGACACAACAAACTGGATGTTCCAGACCCTTGAGACTAGGGCACAGCAAAGTGTAAACATCCAGAGAAGTTCAGTGTTCTTTGTCAAAGGAAGTTTCTAGTCCTTGAGCCTTCAAGAACAGCCTTGGGGAATACAGTGGATGTCTCGTGAAACGTTATGAAGGGCTGATGGTAGCTGAGCAGGATTTGCAAAATTTGGGGGGGTGGAGATTTCCTGGGGGGGGGGGACCTGGCAAGGGCTGGCAAGCATTTGTATGTCTTCTCCACATTGACCCCTTATACCATCCTAACCTAGCCGTGGCTGTCCCAAAACATATTTTTCAAACTATTTTTAAAAGCCAAACAGAAGTGAATCTCCTTTTTCATTCTACTGTCTATAAGAATCTCTCACCCCAGTGGAGCGCAGTTGTTTTCCGTTGCCCCAAAAGGTCAGACCAGAATCAATGGGTTGAAATTAAATCAAAAGAGTTTTCAGCTAAACATTAGGAGGGACTTCCTGATGGTTAGAGCAGCTCCTCAGTGGAACAGGCTTCCTCAGGAGGTGGTGGGCTCTCCTTCTTTGGAGGTTTTTAAGTGGAGGCTCAGGCTACATGGCTATCTGACAGCAGGGCAGATATACGACTCGCTATGAATTTAGGCAGATCGTGGGAGGGAGGGCAGGAAAAGATGAGCCTTTCTTATATGACCAGGGTAGTCTGATTGCCAGTTTGGGCTCAGGAAGTAATTTTCTCCAGGCCAGCTTGGCTCAGGGATTCTGGAAATTTTTTGCCTTCCTCTGGCCATAGAGCAGCTATGAATTTAGGCAGATCGTGGGAGGGAGGGCAGGAAAAGATGAGCCTTTCTTATATGACCAGGGTAGTCTGATTGCCAGTTTGGGCTCAGGAAGTAATTTTCTCCAGGCCAGCTTGGTTCAGGGATTCTGGAGATTTTTTGCCTTCCTCTGGCCATAGAGCAGGGGTCACTGGGGGAGTGGGAGGAAGGGAGCTGTGAATTTCCTGCATATGCAGAAGGTTGGGCAAGAGGATCCTTGGGGACTCTTCCAGCTCTACGTTTCTATGTTTCTGTGTTTCAGTTGACCTCCCAATTGTTCCCAATTCCCTTACTCAACTTCTTAGCTGACTATATTGACCTCAAAGACCAAGCCTATCATCTCTACCCCACAGCAATGTGAGCACTGAGCTCCCATCTGCTATCAAACATCAGTAAGTTGCCTTTCAGCAGCTGACACAAGCTATTTATCCTTTCCCAGGACACCAAAGAATTATCCCCTCCCAAGTAGTCTCTGGCGTACAAAGTCTGGTTCCCCTTAAATTGCTGAACAAGAGATATAATGAGAGAGAAGTCAGCTGTAAGGACTATGGTTCTTCCTCTCTTTCCACTCTCTGCAGGGCTAACTCCTGGTGGTAAAGCTGAAGGGAAACTTTCAACCTCAGTTAGAAACAGCAATTGCCCTTTTTTGCTGCCGGATACCTGTTGTCCAGGGCCTCGCATTCCCGACTGCTGCTAATAGCAGAATGGCCAGGCAATGGAACAAACTGTTCAGGGAAGTCATACAACTCTTCTCTGGAGGTTTTTTAGGAGACTGAATGTGCATCTGTCAGGAACTGTTTAGGTCTGGCAAATTGGGCTTGTGCAGTGGACTGGATTACATGACCCGAGAAATCCCCTCTAGCTCTGTGATTTTGGCTGGCCCACAGTTTCTTGTTTGCCTATTATCAGGACACAGAAAGCTCAACATTTGTCTGTTTAAGCCAGTTCATTGATTTGTTGATGTTTCTGGAGGTGTAGTAATACTAAAATGCAAAAAAGCAAACCTTTAAAAAAAAAAAAGGAATGTCAGAAAACTGAGCATCTGGTAAGGATCAATATAAAGGGGGGAGAGGAAGCAGATGGTTTTGAAATTTAAAAAGAACAAGGATACAGCACTGACATGTTTATGTTAATGTAAACATTCTCGAGAATGGTGCAGATAGAAATGACATTTCCTGTACTCAAAGATTTGCAATTTATCAAACAAACCCTAATTATGTAACTATTGTTGTCTTTAAAATACCCTCTGCCCTACTAATTGTCACACGGATTGTAATTTATACCCCTGCTTCATTTGCCCCTGCTGTCAGAGGATAGATGAGCGGCAACCACAGAAAGGACTTTCTCAGTCATGGCACCAAAATATTGGAACTCCTTCCTCAGGAAGATTCACCTGTCTCCCTCCGTTGGTGTCTTCCGCCAGTAGGTGAAGACTTTGTTTCATATGGCATAATGGTTATTGACCTTCCTCCTGGTTCTTGTGTTTGTTTATATATTTTATTGAATTATTTCATAATTTTAAATGTTCTTGTTAATTGTTCAAATGTTTTAACGTTTTTATGTCCGGCACCTTGGTGACTCTGATTGAGTGAAAAGGTGGCAAGAAAATGCTTGAAATAAATACATAAATAATCAATGCTGAGCTTTAACATTTAATAAACATATGAATGTTGAAATGGTTCATGTAGGGTTGCCAGGACTACCTTAGCAAATGCCAGGAAATTTTAAGCACAGTGCCTGGGGAATGTGGAGTTTGGGGAGGATGTAACATCTCCTCATGGTTACGTTTTAGAAATGTCCTCATATTTTTATGCTAAAGACTACAGAGACACGGGAAAATTCCTAGAATGTCAATTTGGAGGCCTGTGCGCCTCAATTTCTAGTGGCCAGGGATTGAGGTGGAAGGCAGGAGCTTACCCATAGCAGGTGCACAAAGAGCAAGCCTAGCCTCATTAATTTATTCTCTTCAAACTTTCTTGTTACAGAAGTGAACTGAAAGTGAATGGATGTGAAAATGTCTAAGAATACATTTCTGAACTTCCTGGACACATAACTGTTAGTTGATTGAACAGTATGTGGACATTCGCCTGAAACCCCAAGTTCATAAGTGTATTCTATCAAAGTATTTGCCATTGCTTTAGTGATTCTGGATTAATGGTTGTATTTCAAATAATTCATCTGTATGAATCATTGTTACTTCATTTCATCTGAAAAATATAAATAGGCTGCAATTACACACACTAAATAATCCACTTTCAATGCACTTTCCAACTGGATTTACTGTGTGAACTGGCAAAATCCAGTTGGATAATGTACTGAAAGTGGATTATTTAGTGTGTGTGGCCGCAGCCATATTCTTTCTTTCTTTCTTTTGACTAACTCCATTATGTTACATCAAGTCATCAACATTTCCACAGCTGCTGTTGCTTCCATATAATGCCATACCTAACACAACTTATCATTAATTCAGTAATTATTATGTTCACCAAAAAAAAAAAAGTCAAGGTTATGGTTCGTATGACAAAAGTTTGATCTTCACTCACTCAGTTTGATCTTCACTCAGTTCTAGGCCTATTGGGGAAATTAAAAATCAGTAAGTCTCCAGGTCCTGATGGCATATACCCAATAGTTCTTAGGGAACTCCAATCTAAGACTGTTGACCTACTAATCCATATATGGCTGCTGCCACACACGCTAAGTAATCCACTTTCAATCCACTTTCAGTGCACTTTAGCAAAAAGGGGGTCCAGAGGAGAAGCAGGAAATTATATGCCAGTTACCCTGTTCCAGGCAAATTTGTAGGAACTGTAATCAAAGACAGACTCATCAGACACATAGAGGTACAAAGCCTGCTAAGGGGAAATCAGCTTGGCTTCTGAAAAGGGAAGTCCTGCCTCACCAACCCTTTGGAATTCTTTGAGAAAGTGAACAAGCATGTAGGTAACGGTGACCTGGTAGACATTATATACTTGGACTTTTACAAGGCTTCTGACAAAGTACCTCACCAAAGACACCTGAGGTCTATCACGGACTACTAGCCGTGGTGACTGAAGGGAATCTCCACATTCAGAGGCAGTAAACCCCTGAATAGCAATGTCAGGAGACAACATCAGGGGAAGGCCTCTGCCTCTATGCCATGTTGTTGGCCCTCCAGAATAACTGGTTGGCCACTGTGTGAGACAGGGTGTTGGACGAGGTGGACCACTGGTCTGAATCCAGCAGGGCTCTTTTTATGTTCTTAGCATTTTCCATCATGGCTCTAGTTCTGTGGGATGGGTTCTGTGAAGAGGTGAAAGGGGCCTCCTCGGAGATCTTCAGGAGGCACTGCAAGGCCTGCTTGTTTGCCAGGAGGTCAGAATGGCAGGCATCTTTTTGTGGGGGTGGGGATAAGTGTTCCCTCTAAGCTGAGTTAGTGTGAGTTAACTCATAGTTTCTTAGCCTCCAGCTCACCCATTTTTGCCTTAGATCAGGAAAGATGGCTTCAGAGCAAACTAATTTATGCAGCAGTCAAATCGCTGGCTCACAACTTTAATGCCAGTAGCTCACAAAGTAAAAATTTTGCTCACAGGACTCCACAGCTTAGAGGGAACATTGGTGGAGATTTGGGGTTTGCTGTTTTATTTTTGGTTTAACTGAAAATGTTCTTCGCTATTAGTGTAAGCCCCCTTGAACCACAAGGAAAGGTGGGATATATATGTTTCAATAAATAAACAGAATATATAAAATAAAATCCTTTGTTTGTTTGTCACTCATCCCAAGGCCCCTGAAGTTGCACACAGACAACCAGATCTAGTCACTGATATTGCATTGTCTCCAGCAACCACTGCTAACAACTTGATGAATTTTGCACACAGATCTTTGACTCACTGTTTGAAAATTATTACAGTGCTACTAGTGGTGAAGCTCAAGACACCCCAATCACCATGCCCATGGGCTGTACCTCATGACATGAACGTATTCTGGTTCTTTGGTGAAACTGTAAGCGTAGCCACTGGAAGTTGTCCCAAAATCAACAGCCACAATGACAAGAAATGATTGTTCCTCTGCATCATTTGCATCTGAGTCCTTCTGGTAAAATAAAAGAAGTAAAACACTTATGTTATGTCACACGTGAGATGTAAAATTTACTGATGATTTTACACTAAATTGCTTCACTACTAATCAGCACCAGAGTAATGAAATCAGCAATTCCTGAATGTCACCAGGACTTGCACGTTAGTAGGGATGGGAATACAATGGTGGCATTCAAGCTGATATTTAATCTTTACAATTTTGATTTATAATTTTATTTATATTTACTTATAAATTAAACTTTTAGATGCTAATCTAGATGAGTGAGAATACCACCCAAATTCTTGTTTTATAACTTCTCACTAATATTCCAGAAAAAGTGGACAGTTTTTGAAATGTCTTTTGTATCAAATACCAACTGAATTACAGTATAGCAGATAATCAGCATGTAAACATAATTTCATTAGCATGAGGTCTAGCTCTGTAAAGTTATGCAACAGTAGAAGAAGAAGAGTTGGTTTTTACACCCTGTTTTTTCTACCTTAAGGAGTCTCAAAGCAGCTTACAATCGCCTTTGCCTTCCTCTCCCCACAACAGTCACCTTGTGAGGTAGGTGGGGCTGAGAGAGTTCTGAGAGAACTGTGACTGGCCCAAGGTCACCCACCATGCGTCAACTGGAGGAGTAAGGAATCAAACCCAGTTCTCCATATTGGAATCTGCCACTCTTAACCACTGCCTTTCACAGTAAACTTTAGCTTGTCAATAACACAGAATTTTTAAATCAACATATTTTAATCTGCTGAAGTGCCTCTTTTAAATGGCACCATATGGTCTGATAAACTAAATTATCCCCCTTCCCCCATCCATCCTGAATGTAGTTCCTGGTTTGCATGTAGCTCTGCAGAAGAAAGGGGGACACACCACACCACGGCAAAATGAAGATGAAGAGAGAAATTGTGCAGAAAAAAAGGAATCTTTAATAATTGTACAGCCCCTATGCATTTCGTGTGCCGCTTCGTCAGGGGGAATCTGTATGAAGCTGTACGCGAAATGCAATGGGGTTGTACAATTATTAAAAATTCCTTTTTTCTGCACCATTTCTCTCTTCATCTTTGTTTTGTATGTGGGTCCGCCAGTTTGGGGAGGGAGGGAGGCTTCTGAAGTTTATAGAGACCATGTTCGGTGAGAGGGCCTGTACTAGGAACATCAGTCCTGTTACCCCTGGCTCTGCCTGAACCAACAGCTTTAGTAATAGTTGATCCTATGTTCAAAGGCCGTATTACCAAGCACTGAGTATTGCCACTCTTAACCACTGCCTTTCACAGTAAACTTTAGCTTGTCAATAACACAGAATTTTTAAATCAACATATTTTAATCTGCTGAAGTGCCTCTTTTAAATGGCACCATATGGTCTGATAAACTAAATTATCCCCCTTTCCCCATCCATCCTGAATGTAGTTCCTGGTTTGCATGTAGCTCTGTAGAAGAAAGGGGGCCACACCACGGCAAAATGAAGATGAAGAGAGAAATTGTGCAGAAAAAAAGGAATCTTTAATAATTGTACAGCCGCTATGCATTTCGTGTGCCGCTTCGTCAGGGGGAATTTGCAATGGGGTTGTACAATGGGGTTGTACAACGGGGTTGTACAATTATTAAAAATTCCTTTTTTCTGCACCATTTCTCTCTTCATCTTTGTTTTGTATGTGGTGCTGCCCGTTTGGGGGGGGGGGGGAAGGGAGGCTTCTGAAGTTTATAGAGACCATGTTCGGTGAGAGAGCCTGTACTAGGAAAATCAGTCCTCTTACCCCTGGCTCTGCCTGAAGTAAAAGCTTTAGTAATAGTTGATCCTATGTTCAAAGGCCGTATTACCAAGCACTGAGTACAAACTACAGGGAACTGCTGTTACCATCAATCCCAGTGCAAAATGTAGCCCTCAGCATTGTAGGATTTTTTTTTTGCAACAAAATGATTCGTACAAGTGAATTAATTTATATTCTGCCCCCCCCCCCCCCCTCAGAACTATTGTCACGTTTACCCAGAGAGGAAAAAAAAAATCCAATTTAGAATTCTGATCCAAACTTTCAGTACAGCACAAATGTGTAAGATTCCAAAATATTCTGCATGATAAAAGACAAGAGACAATAGTAAAATAAGAAAGAGCAGCTTTCAGAGGTCCATCCGTAGAATGAACTTCCATGGGAAATGCATTACAAACATCGTATGAAGCTGTACGCGAAATGCAATGGGGTTGTACAATTATTAAAAATTCCTTTTTTCTGCACCATTTCTCTCTTCATCTTTGTTTTGTATGTGGTTCTGCCAGTTTGGGGGGGGGGGGAGGGGGGGGTTTGGAAGTTTTAGAGA